GACACAGGGCTTTGCTCTAGTAGATTCCAATACACAATAGGGTCTACATATGTGAAAACATATTTTTTCTAAGTACTTTTAAACACAGTATATTTAATAATTGAGTCATCTTTTTAGCTGTTTTTCACACTGAGGCAATTCAGATAAATTGGTAAATAGAAAAATTAACATCAGTTTAAAAAAAAATTAAACAATCCGAAGTCATTTTATAAGTAAACAAAAAGAGCTACAGCAGGGTGTGCAGTTATGGAGAAATTACACCTCTGTTGTGGCTAAAGGTCCTTGGCTTTGCATTTTGCCTCCAGTGCACCTGAGGCATGTAAATGATGTTCTGCGCATATACACAGACACACTCTTGTAAGAGATGAAGATAGAGCATATTCTCATTAGTATTTTACACCATTCACATTTATAAAAGTGAGAATTTGACTCAAATTAAGTTCAGAGATGCCTTATAATTATACTCTAACATCTCATTTACAAGATAGATTAGTAATATGGTCTGTATTTTCTGTTTCCAGTACAGTTGAGTCCCTTGAGTGCTAAAGTACTGTTTTACATTGCTGTACAACTGAGGGTTTAATAAATCTGTCCAATGAGAATTTCATGCACAAAGTCATTGGGATTAAGTGTTTTTTATGGCCCAGTCAACTTTTCTCTGCTTTCAGTTTTTTGAAACTCAACAGCTGCTAGCTCTTCTAAATGTTTTTGTTAACATATGAAGATCAACCACAGTAACTTAAAAAAAACAAAAAAAAAAACTTTCAAACTACTCATCAAGCCTGATCCTAAGAGGTGCTCAACGCCAGGCAGGATCAAGCCCTTAAAGGGAAAGGCTGACCAAAAGCCATAGGCTCTTTTTCCTGATCAGCTATAATCCAGCCAGATGTATAAAAGGGATAAATATAAGTCACTCCCACTGAGTGCAGAGGTCTGAAAAAATAGTGTATAAAAATCCTTATGTTAATAGTAAAGCCTTTGGGTATCAATTATATTTTGTTTGTGAGTGCATGTGCCGGCTTCAGCTGTGAAACAGCTTTGTCTAAAGCTTTATGGAAAGGTATGTAGAGTAGTTTTGAGACTTCATTTGACTAAAAGTGATGTGGAAAGGAATTAAGCTTGTTTGTACAGATGGGCCTAGAATTAAAATACTCAGACTGGCTATTTGTGGGTATTGCCAAAATACCCTTCAATAGCACTGGTCTACAGTTTTTGAGAAGTCGTCTGCTTCAGAGATAAAATGTGCTATTTATTATGTATTTTGATGTGCTGAATTCAAATATGACCATTAAAACAACTGATTGGCTACTGTTTCTAAGATATTTAAGTTTTTACATTTTATGTCTATGTATATTGTGTAGATAGTAGAGTTTTAATCATAAATTGTAAACCTAGGTCTTTTCATGTGTTTATGGTTGCTTTACATGATAATATTTCACCTGTCCTGTTTATGTAACACTTTAAAAATCAGCAAAAGGGTTATATAAATAAAATTTATTATGAAACAAAAGGCAAAAAGCTATTATGTACATAGTTTAGTCCTATTCAGTGTCTACTCGGCGCTTCTTGGCTTGTCTCTTGTATTCATTAAATGAAGCATCTCTTGTCACTGTCCAGCAATAGTCTGCAAGCATTGATGGGCTCCATTTGCCCTGATAGCGTTTCTCCATTGTTGCAATGTCCTGGTGAAATCACTCGCCGTGCTCGTCGCTCACTGCTCCGCAGTTCGGTGGAAAAAAATCTAGATGAGAGTGCAAAAAATGTATCTTTAGTGACATGTTGCAACCAAGGCTTTTGTATGCCTTGAGGAGGTTTTCCACCAACAACCTGTAGTTGTCTGCCTTGTTGTTTCCGAGAAAATTTATTGCCACTAACTGGAAGGCTTTCCATGCCGTCTTTTCCTTGCCACGCAGTGCATGGTCAAATGCATCATCTCGAAGAAGTTCACGAATCTGAGGACCAACAAAGACACCTTCCTTTATCTTAACTTCACTTAACCTTGGAAATTTTCCACGGAGGTACTTGAAAGCTGCTTGTGTTTTGTCAATGGCCTTGACAAAGTTCTTCATCAGACCCAGCTTGATGTGTAAGGGTGGTAACAAAATCTTCCTTGATTCAACAAGTGGTGGATGCTGAACACTTTTCCTCCCAGGCTCCAATGACTGTCGGAGTGGCCAATCTTTCTTGATGTAGTGGGAATCTCTTGCACGACTATCCCATTCGCAGAGAAAACAGCAGTACTTTGTGTATCCAGTCTGCAGACCAAGCAAGAGAGCAACAACCTTCAAATCGCCACAAAGCTGCCACTGATGTTGGTCATAGTTTATGCACCTCAAAAGTTGTTTCATGTTGTCATAGGTTTCCTTCATATGGACTGCATGACCAACTGGAATTGATGGCAAAACATTGCCATTATGCAGTAAAACAGCTTTAAGACTCGTCTTTGATGAATCAATGAACAGTCTCCACTCATCTGGTACGTGAACGATGTTGAGGGCTGCCATCACACCATCGATGTTGTTGCAGGCTACAAGATCACCTTCCATGAAGAAGAATGGGACAAGATCCTTTTGACGGTCACGGAACATGGAAACCCTAACATCACCTGCCAGGAGATTCCACTGCTGTAGTCTGGAGCCCAACAGCTCTGCCTTACTCTTGGGTAGTTCCAAATCCCTGACAAGGTCATTCAGTTCACCTTGTGTTATGAGGTGTGGTTCAGAGGAGGAGGATGGGAGAAAATGTGGGTCCTGTGACATTGATGGTTCAGGACCAGAAGTTTCATCCTCTTCCTCGTCTGACTCAAGTGAGAATGATTCTGGTGCATCAGGAACCGGCAGTCCTTCTCCATGGGGTACTGGACGTATAGCTGATGGAATGTTTGGATAATGCACAGTCCACTTTTTCTTCTTTGACACACCTTTCCCAACTGGAGGCACCATGCAGAAGTAACAATTGCTGGTATGATCTGTTGGCTCTCTCCAAATCATTGGCACTGCAAAAGGCATAGATTTCCTTTTCCTGTTCAACCACTGGAGAAGATTTGTTGCACAAGTGTTGTAGCATATGTGTGGGGCCCACCTCTTGTCCTGATCTCCAATTTTGCAGCCGAAATAAAGGTGATAGGCTTTCTTAACCATAGTGGTTATACTGCGCTTTTGTGATGCAAAAGTCACTTCACCACAAACATAGCAGAAGTTATCTGCACTGTTCACACAAGTACGAGGCATCTCTGCTCACTTTGGCTAAACAGAAATGTGTCTCTTTGCAAAATCAAACACTGACAAATAAGAGAGCACGACACTGTATGATTTCTAGAGCTGATATAGGGCAATTTGTTCAGCAGAGTGATGTAAGCTTCTTTATGATTGCATCATCCATGACTTCTAGGAATAACATGATGCAATTCATATCATGTATGACGCAATACCAGCTTCAGATTGCATCATTCATTGTTTTGCCTAAAAAGCAAGTACTGTCCAAACTCAATCATAGATTTATTCATAGATCCAGTCAAAGATGTATTTTAGTCATTTCTGGTGTAAATTGAGATCCCTTCCCTTTATAACTCACTTATCCTCTGCCATTCCCAAGTCAAGGGTCGTATATACTGACCCAATAGCATATCTTGAAAACTAGAGCCAAACAACAATTTTAAGCATCATTTTCGTTCTCAGTGACCCAGAATTAGTAAAGTTTGACACATTTATTTCAGAAGCATTTTGGCTGTAGAGCAGTGTAATCTGGGTATTGTACCTGAATAAAAATTGGTTCAAGTGTGTGATGATTCAATGTAATACATAAAGGTTCTGAGTCTTCTCTGACTTACACTGATATAAATCAGGAGTATCTCCATTGAATTTTGTGGAGGCATGTCAAGTTAAAAGATTCAGGTTCAAAATATCTACGTATAAGATAAATATGAGTGTACATGAGGATAAATACGTTATGGAACCATAGGGCCACATTCTGCTCTCAGTTATAATGGTGTAGAAAGCAGAGTAACTCCACTGAAGTTAACGAAGTTGTACAAATGTCAAAGTGGAGTAAGTGATATCAGAGTGAAGCCCTTATTCAACACTTTGAAATGGCCAAAGCTAAAGGACCTGGCCCACATGCAGAAATCCCATTGGCATCTATGGCTGTTTTACAGGCAGAGCAGTTGCAGCTTTGGGGTCTTTATCCTGCACAGAGAAGACTCGTATTTGATTTAGTGGCCTACACTTGCAGCATATTGGTACAGCAGTTAACTATGAGCTGTCCGGTTCCAAGAGTAACCTATTAGGACAAGTTATGAGGTGATCTCAATGTTGATGTACATTACATGCAGATAACCAGCATAAGATAACATTAAGGTGGTGTAACTTACCGACTGGAGGGGTGAAAAGATGGGGTTGTAACAGAGGAAAAGCAACCCACAGCAGGGAGTAAGCAGGTGTAAGATAAGTGGGAAGAAGGGGCTTTTCCTATACCTTCTTATTTCTTCCTGGTACTTGCTTGTCCTACTACAACCCTGTCCTTCAACCTCAAAAACCGCCACCACAGTTTGCACCAGTTGACCCCCTTGGTTGAAGTCTCTGAAAAGAGGCTGAGTATTGAAAGCATCATAGAGACTGACTTATCCTCCCAACCTAATGGTGGCCTATCCAGTGGGGAAGCTTGCACAGCTGATGCATATGATGTAGCAGATAAAGAAAAGATTTCAGTCTCCGAGGCTTTAAATCTGGCATCTCTCATGAGCATTAAATTCTCTCACACAAAAATCAATTTGATGTTTTTGTTTATGATCTCTATTCATTTTATCTTATAAAAATGGAAAATGCTTCTTTCTCTTTCTGAAAACATTTGGCACATGTTCTAAACTCTAAGTGTTGAATTAGGCAACTTTCCAGTAACTCCCTTCCAGCACATCTAAATCGAGATTACAGCTGTCCTTTTGGAAAGGCATACATAACTCAGCATGTGGGAAACTGACTGACATTTTCTCTTCTCCTTTTCAGAGTGTCTCCTCTGCAGAAGTCTGAAATAGTAGACATGGTAAAGAAACATGTAAATGCCATCACATTAGCCATCGGAGACGGTGCCAATGACGTGGGAATGATCCAGACCGCGCATGTGGGAGTCGGGATCAGTGGGAATGAGGGCATGCAGGCAACCAACTCTTCTGATTACTCCATAGCACAGGTCAGAGGCACTAAAAAGCAGCTGCCATGTTCTGTTGACAGAGGTATCAGCTGTGTGGCAGCATAAGCGCTTCATTGCTGGCTTTCAAGCCGAGAGAATCTTTGTTTATATCCTCTTTGAGACTGCCATCTAAAACTGATATCTTGGATGTATTAGGGATCATTTTAGTTTTGATCTTGTACCCTTTGGGGCAATGATCAACCCTTTCCTAAAGGCTTAGGTTTCTTCTTGCCAGCTGTGGAACATTCAAACTGTTCAGTAAGCAGGGAGAGGCGCCATTCATGACAGTTACATTTAATGCCCTTCTAATTATAATTTATCTTCCTCAGTGTGCTCTTGTCACTGACACCTGTTGGTGAACTATATTAATGTCCAGAAGAGGCAGATGATGATGGGACATTTTTATTTTGAAGTCTCTTTACCACGTTTTTCTTAAACTACTAAAGAATCAGTTATTCAAATACTAAAGAGCTGGTCAATATTTTGAGATAATTCAGGCAGTGACAGTGACTAGGGTGCATGCTCCCAACTTATCCCATCAAATTCAGCACTGATTACTTTAGAGGCGGCAGTGGGACAAAGCCATGCAAATTGCGCAAGCTCTTTGTTTAATTGAACAAATCAAAACATAAACATATTAAAAGCAGCACAAGAAAGAAAAGAGACTTTTGCTAATGTACATGTAATGTGAATATTGTTTGTTTACAGTTAAGGTATCATATGTTCACTTATCACTTGTGATAAGAAAATCTTTAATATTTGGTAATAGTATAAGAAGGCTAGATTCAAATCTAGAACGGGGTAATGACCAAAAGTCATTAGTCTGTTGGCTCTTTGGTAGCCTGTGAGAAATGAGTTGGGATTTCATGCCACAAGCATGTAGGCAGCCATCAGATGAACTCACTATGAAATCTTCCTTTACAGTTGATACTAATTGGCACCCTTATTGGAAATTTCCGCAGAGAGCTGAAGGATTGGAAGGGCAGAAAGGCAAACTCCCCTTTTACTCCTCGAGGCAGTTGTTCCTGAACAGGTTGACCCATTGACAGAGCAATAAAGGAAAGGTGCACTGCTACCATGGTGTATGTGTTCCATGGTCAGGCAGAGGGCTTCTGTATTCAGGAGTGGTCATCAGAGAATTTTCACAAGCACTAAATGCACTTTTAAAATGTCAGGTTAAAAACCTCATCAGATATTAGTTCAGTAATAGACAGTAGTTTACTGCAAGAACACTTACACAGTATGACACCAAAAGTGTTATACACCAGGACAACCTTCAACTGCCTTGATCACAATGGTTACACTGTCCAGCAGTGGTCTCTACATTACTAATTTTCTAACCTTCTACCATATATTACTTTTGAGGCACAATTCATTTAAAAAATCCGTATTTACAAGACTTCATAAGATTCAATTTATTTATTAAAATGGCAGTGTAAAAGAATAAGTAGGTAGTCAGAGTTTTGTCCATAGATGGCCTATCACATTTTATTAACGCCTTTGGCATTTATTCTAATAACTTTAAACCTGATGAAATCATTTGATATTCATGTGTCGCTTTTGGATGAATATAAGAATGGTGAAAATGGGTTGTGCTCAGTTTAACTGTGGTTTGGGGATTATTGACCATAGCAATAGAGATAATGTTATAGTTAGGGCTGTCAAGCGATTAAAAAAATTAATCGTGATTAATCATGTGATTAAACAACAATAGAATACCATTTATTTTAAATATTTTTGGATGTTTACTACATTTTCAAATATATTAATTTCAATTATAACACAGACTACAAAGTGTACAGTGCTCACTTTATATTTATTTTTTATTACAAATATTTGCACTGTAGAAAAACAAAAATTGTATTTTTCAATTCACCTCATACAAGTACTGTAGTGCAATCTCTGAATCATGAAAGTTGAACTTACAAATGTAGAATTATGCACCAAAAAAAACCTGCATTCAAAAATAAAACCATGTAAAACGTTAGCGCCTACAAGTCCACTCAGTCCTACTTCAGCCAATCACTCAGACAAACAAGGTTGGTTACAATTTGCAGGAGATAATGCTGTCTGCTTCTTGTTTACAATGTCAACTGAAAGTGAGAACAGGCGTTCACATGGCACTGTTGTAGCTGGCATTGCAAGATATTTATGTGCCAGATGCGCTAAAGATTCATATGTCCCTTCATGCTTCAACCACTATTCAAGGGGACATGCTTCCATGCTGATGATGGGTTCTGCTTGATAACTATCCAAAGCAGTGCGGACTGACACATGTTAATTTTCATCTTCTGAGTCAGATGCCATCAGCAGAAGGTTGATTTTTCTTTTTGGGTGGTTTGGGTTCTGTAGTTTCCGCATCAGAGTGTTGCTCTTTTAAGACTTCTAAAATCATGCTCCATGCCTCGTCCGTCTCAGATTTTGGAAGGCACTTCAGATTCTTAAATCTTGAGTCGAGTGCTGTAGCTATTTTTAGAAATCTCACAGTGGTACCTTCTTTGTGTTTTGTCAAATCTACTGTGAAAGTGTTCTTAAAACGAAACATGTGCTGGGTCATCATCCAAGACTGCTATAACATGAAATATATGCAGACTGCGGGTAAAATAGAGCAGGGGACATACAATTCTCCCCCCAAGGAGTAGAGTCACAAATTTAATTGATGCATTATTTTTTTTAACGAGCATCATCAGCATGGAAGCACGTCCTCTGGAATGGTGGCCGAAGTATGAAGGGGCATACAAATGTTTAGCATATCTGGCATGTAAATACCTTGCAACGCTGGCCACAACAGTGCCATGCGAATGCCAGTTCTCACTTTCAGGTGACATTGTAAATAAGAAGCTGGCAGCAGTATCTCCAGTCAGTGTAAACAAACTTGTTTGTCTTAGCAATTGGCAGAATAAGAAATAGGACTGAGTGGACTTGTAGGTTCTAAAGTTTTACACTGTTTTGTTTTTGAATGCAGTTATGTAACCAAAAAAATCTGTATTTGTAAGTTACGCTTTCACGCTAAAGAGATTGCACTTCAGTACTTGTATGAGGTGAATTGAAAAATACTATCATTTTTACAGTGCATATATTTGTAATCAGAAATAATAATATAAAGTGAGCACTGTGCACTTTGTATTCTATGTTGTAATTGAGATCAATATTGAAAATGTAGAAAAGCATCCAAAAATATTTACCGTATATACTCGTTCATAAGCCAAATTTTTTAGTAAAAAAGGGAAGCATCTTCTGAGTAATTTAAGTAGACCACTGTAATGTAGTATCTTATACCCAAATGATACTTCCAATCCAGTGATTCCAGAAGTGGGCACACATGGAAAAATAAAGCTCTATATAAAGACTCACTAAGGATTCCACGAGGAATCCTATAATGAACTAAACAAATAAAAAGGAAGTTTGCCTCTGACCCAGGGCCCAAAGAATAACTTCCACTCATACAGAGACTATGTTTGAATCCTCTTTTTTTTTTAAATGTTCTTGTCCCCATGATTCATTTTCAAAGAATTCCTAAACCAAAATACTGAGGTTCTTTACATGGTTCTAAAATTTAATAAAACTTTTTATTGAGAAGATACTTTATATGCAGCGGAGGAATCTGGAGTGTCTTGGGATCATTGCTTTTTTGAATACTTTAAAGGGGAAAAGTGCTCAGGGAAATTCTTCCTTTAAAATAAATGTTGGGTTCATGGTTCAGTTTTGTTCCTAGGAAAGCCTGGGTTGTATTCTAGATGTTTTCTTTTTCCTAAATTTCACCCAGTTGTATTAAATAATGAGTACTGGTACTCTAAAACACCTTTTTATTTGGTAGTGCATCTCTCATTTTTAGATCAAGACTGGATATCTTTCTAGAAGATATGTTATAGCTCAAATAGAAGCTATGGTTTGATGCACAAATTGCTGGAAGAAGTTATATGGTCTGTGTTATGCAGGAGGTCAAAGTAGAGGATCATAATGGTCCCTTTTGGCCTTACAATTTTTATAAATCTCCTGGCACCCATGTATGCTCTGTATCTCACTTATTATTAGACCCCCCCCCCTTCCTGCAAACACTTACTCATGTAAGTAACTCAATGCATGTCAGTACCTCCACTGAGCTCTGTTAAAATAAAATATGGCTGTTTTATTTAATTCCTTGTCAAAGCTCAGTGGGACAACTCACATGTATTTAAAGTATCAGAACCTTATTCTTTCTGAGTGGCATCATTTCCTCAGCTCTTTTAGGTAGCACTTTTGCATTTTCTTGAGCGATTACAAACTAAGTGAGTAGCATTATAGTAACTAAATTGTTAAAATTGTATGAGTTATGGCTACACCATTTGTGCAGTTTTTCCTCTTTGGGTTATTCTACAGTATATCGATAGAATACATGCCAGCCTTGCTGGAGTTTACACTATATGTAAAAGGATGAATCTTGGGAAGCATTAAAGTTGTGGCAGGACGGAAGAGAGCGTGTAGGTTGATAGGTAGTTAATGGGTTAGTACATTTATTAGCCATTCACTTTTGGTTATCTACTTTCCAATCCTGATGTAGGCTGGATAGAGACTGAACCCAAACTGAATTATAATGTGGCTTGCTTTGTTTTCTATTTTGCTGAAATACCACCAGAGAGCCTGTTCTTGTGGTATTTGCAGCAAATGCATTAAGTCCTGGAGATCTTGGGAGAAAGGCTATATATCATGACATTTCTAGCTCATGTTTGGAGATCCCAGAGTTTCAAATGGGCTTTGGATGAATAATAAATTTGAACTAGAATTTGAAACTTGAACTCCAAACCTTTTGAGGTGGCATACCACTAGCCCAGAAGTGGAAATGAGTTGCTTGGCATCCTTCTGGTTCCCAAAAACCACCACACACAATGGTGAAATTCATTCTCTTCTCATGGGAGGCCTGAGGCTGAACTGAAAGGAATGTTACAAGTCACAGGTGGGTTCCTTGACAGAGCCTGTGTGACAAACACATTTCCTGCCCACACTGTGGGCTTGATCTTGCTCTCATTGAAGGCAATGTGAGAAATCCCATTGAATTAAATAGGAGTAGAACTGAGTCATCTTTGTGGTTCAAACCAGTATTATTAGGCACCAATTTCCATACACATTAGATTCATTTACTAATTGGGTTTATTTAAGGGGAAAAAAGGAATCTACTACTTGTTTTAGATGCTCATATTATGACCACATTTATTATCGAGTGAACTGTAAATGTTCATAAAAATGTATTTGTTCCCATCTTCTTTCAAAAGCTGGTAGTGTTCTTTTTCTCTTTTCAGCACTTTACCTTGAGTCTCCATTTTAGCCCAGAACATTTCTAATTACCACATTGCTCCTTTTAAAACACAGAGAAGAGCCTTGTACCACACACTTATTATTAAACCCTCAAACACAGTCATCTTCTCTTGCCGTTAAATAAGAGTTTACATTTATAGTTAATCCAGTAGGCCCTATTATGTTAACCTTGCCTCATTTTTCTATCAGGATAGTAATAATAATTGAAGGCTTCTTCCTGTTTAAAGCAAATGAAAACCAAATTTATGGAATCATGTTTAAAAGATTTATTCCAAAAAAGGAATGTTTTGCTGTGATTTTTTTAATGTTTTGTTTGTGGGTAATAATCTGTCAACATTACTCTCATGGAAAGGAAGTTCTTGGAATGGATTTAATAACTGATCTAAATTTTATTTACTTTGTATAGAGAGTTGTAAAATGTGAGGCTATTTTTACTTATGTCCATTTTTCTTTTTCTAGTTTTCTTACTTGGAGAAACTATTATTAGTCCATGGAGCCTGGAGTTACAATCGAGTGACCAAATGCATATTGTATTGCTTCTACAAGAATGTGGTCTTGTATATTATTGAGGTAAGAACAGTCAAGAGGATGGACTTTGGCAAACAGTAACAATTGCAATTAGTAAATTAAAATTAAATGCTCTCTTCGCATGACACATATTCATTTTGTGGAGTTCGCTGCCAAAAGATGTCACATAGTGAAGCTGGATTTTAAAAGAGGTTGGATACATTTATGACCTTTAATACTATGTGTAGTTATGCCTGTTAAGATTTGGGAGAAATCAAATATCATGTTTCAGGTGTAAACTGATTGTAGCAATGGTCAGGAAGAATCATTCCCTAATGCACATTATTGCACATTTGGCCGTGTACATCACGAGGATACTAGATTTGATGGATCAATCATCTGATCTGGTATGGCAAATTCTGTGTTGCTGAACCAGTGCTCAAAATCATTTAAAAAAAATAGTTGAAGGTTTTTCTTCATTCTTTCCAATAAATAGATGCTAAGAGGGAGGGATAATAAACAACAAAATGAGAACCTTATAATTAGCCAGCCACTTAGAGTAGATTACAGGAGACAGTAGGTCAGAAATGTTTTACTGTTCAATAAATCATACCATGGTCTGTGTACATATCTGACTCCCTCAGGGTCTAATAATCTTTTATTAGGGTGACCAGATGTCCCGATTTTATAGGGACAGTCCTGATTTTTGGGTCTTTTTCTTATATAGGCTCCTATTACCCCCTCCACCCCCACCCCCGTCCCGATTTTTCACATTTGCTGACTGGTCACCCTAATTTTTATGCATGTATTATTCTCATGGAGAACAGAAGTTCTCAGCAAACATGTTCCATTTTTTCTTATATGTATCTGAATGACCTCTACTTTTGGAGTTCATCATTTCCAATACAGTTCGAAGTCTATTTACTACATGTGGTCAGCTGCCATAGTATTGAAGAGTCAAACTATCATTTCCAACTGCACCTTAGAGCAGGGGTGGGCAAACTATGGCGCGCAGGCCGGATCTGGCCCATCAGGGCTTTGGATCCAGCCCACGGGATTGCCCCCCATGGCGCCGTGGGCCCTGCAACGCTCTCAGAAGCGGCCCCCAGGCGGGGGGGGCAGAGGGCTCCGCGTGCGTTGCCCTTGCCTCCAGGCACCAACCCCTGCAGCTCCCATTGGCCAGGAATGGGGAACCACGCCAATGGGAGCTTCGGGGGAGGTACCTGGAGGTGCATCAAGGGCAGTGCACGTGGAGCCCTCCGCCCCCCCACCCGCTCCCCCAGGGGCCGCAGTGCTTCCTGGAGCGGCACGGGTCCGGGGACAGGGCAGACAGGCAGGGTGCCTGCCCTGGCACTGGTGTGCACCGCTGCCACCCCGGAGCCGCTTTAGGTAAGCGGCGCTGGGCTGAAGCTTGAACCCCTCCTGCACCCTGCCCCCCAACTCCCTGCCCTAAGCCCCCTGCCTGCACCTCGCACCCCTCCTGCACCCCAATCCCCTGCCCTGAGCTCCCTGCTGTACCCTGCACCCCCGTGCACCCCAACCCCCTGCCCTGAGCCCCCTCCCACAGTCCACACCACTGCCCTGACCCCCCTCCTGCACCCCAACCCCCTTCCCTCAGCCCCCTCATACAACCCGCACCCCTCCTCTGCCCCAATCCCTTGCCCTGAGCCCCTTCTTGCACACCGCACCCCCTCCCACATCCCGCACTCCCTCCCGCACCCCAACCCCCTGCCCCGGCCCTGCATACAATTTCCCCACCCAGATGTGGCCCTCGGCCCAAAAAGTTTGCCCACCCCTGCCTTAGAGACTAACAAATTTATTTGGGTTAAGGTTATAAATTCTCCTTCATTATAAGATAGATTCTGATTGTCCCCTGTCTTTGCCAAAACTTAAATCCATGTACCTGATATTTCACAGGCATGGTCTTATCATAGTGTAGAAATTTTCATAAAGTTTTCAGACAAGGCATTTTAGGAGATGGGAGGGTTCTAGCATGACCTGATCTCACTCATTGAATATTTTTCTAGCCAGTTTTTTGGCTCATATTTACAAAACTGTTTTCAGTAAGAGGATCTAAGTGTTGCTGGAGATGAGAATAATTGTATTCATTAGTGCTGAATAATTAATGGAGCATTGCGAATTTTTTTTAAAATAGGCATTTTTTCCCCTCTCTTCGTTTGGAATACCCTTAGCAGCTTCACAATTACTTTTCTTTCTCTAGGAGTTCTATTTCCATTTCATAGACTTTTTTTAAAAAAAATACTGATTCTTATAGATTATTGTATAAAATGACTGCTTCAATAATTGTTACAGCTAATAAAAATATTGTATAATACTATAGGGCTAAATTATAACTACCCCAATGTGAAAAGGCTGAAAAATCCACTCATGGAACGGCTGAAGATTGGTGGTGAACTTTGTGACCTGAGGTGTTTCTGTTAAATCATCTTGTTGTGGGGAGGGGTCTTCCTAACCATAAGTAAGGCTAAGATTTAATCACAGGTATTTTTAGTAAAAGTCATGGACATGTCACAGGGCAGTAAAAAAAATTCATGACCCCTGACCTGTCCATGACTTCTTCTATAAGTACCCCTGACTAAATCTTAGGAGCTCTGGGGGACTTCAGGGGTGCTGCTGGTGTTCTGGGCTGGGGGGGGGGGGCCCGAAGAATTGCCGGGGCGCGGGGGCCCGGGGGGCCCCGGGTGCCCGGGGGGCGGCGGCCGGGGGTGCCAGGGGGGGGGGGGGGGGGGGAGTGGTTGGGAGGCAGCCTGGGGTGCCGCTGGTGCTCCAGGGTGCAGGGAGGCTGGGGCTGCTTGGGCAGCCCTGGGGTCAGCTGCACTGGCCACTACAGAAGTCACTGAGTCCCAGAAAGTCACAGAATCCATTATTTCTGTGACCTCCATGACAGACTCGCAGCCTTAACCATAAGATGTCCTGAGATGATGCTTAAAATGCATGTCTATTCTGAAAGTACCCTGTGTAAAGATGGCCTCTTCTTTCTATCCTCATCTGCTTCCTTTGGGTATTCAGAGTCCTGTCTCCTTGCTTCACTGACAAATTAACTTTTACTCCTTTTTAGTTCTGTTGGCACTGCAGAGCCAGTACAGCTAAGAATGAGCTGGATTCCATTCTGGCTAATGCATCTGCATAACAGAATTGTTAATGAGTAGTTTCTGTTGCATGGCCATATTATGCCCCCAGTTACACCTGTACATCTGCATTACATATTTGTAAGATTCACTCACAAGGAAGTTGCTGCTGGCAATGGGGTATAAGTGGAGGCAGAATTTGAAGCCCATGGGGTTGCACCTGTGTAACTGAGGCAGGGCCGGCTCCAGGCACCAGCGTAGCAAGCTGGTGCTTGGGGCGGCACATGGAAGGGGGCGGTACGTCCAGCTCTTCAGCGGCAATTCGGCGGCGGGTCCCTCAGTCCCTCTCAGCGGGAAGGACCTGCCGCCGAATTGCCACTGAAGAATGAAGCAGCGGCAGTAGAGTGGCGACGGAAGTGCTGCAGATCACGATCGCGGCCTTTTTTTTTTTTTTTTTTTTTTTTTTTTTGTCTGCTTGGGGCGGCAAAAACCCTGGAGCCGGCCCTGAACTGAGGGCAAGAACTGACTTACAGAATTGATACTAGTGATGATACCCAACCTTGAGAGCACTCATTTTTTATTTTCAGCTGCCATGTTGACTTTTCAGCACTGGCACTTTGGAAAAAAATTATATTTATAAACTTAGCAAAATTGACCTGGAAACTGAGATACAACAAATATGCAACCCCAGGCTACTATCCTTGGAGTCACTTTCCAGACCACAATTAAACTTTTTGCTTTCCACAAGGAAGATCGTGATGTTTTGCATTTCTAGTGTGAGACCTTTGAGTGCCATTCACTCTTTATGTGGAGTGGTGATCACAGAAAAGAGAAGCTCCACCATGACACAAAACCCACAGCTCATGAGATTCCCACCTCCATCTACTGTGGTGCACACCCTTGAGTAGCTGCTGCAGTATTATTGTTTGTTCCCTGACACTCTGAACAAGCTTGGCCTTTACCTCCCACTGTCTGTTTTGACTTGCCATGTGCAGAGAGATTTTTCTTCGACATCACAGTGAAACCAGGGTTTGTACCTGAATTACATTCCAAGCTAATTTTCAAAAGACTCTACTGAGTAAATATTTTTAGAGTTGAACTGAAGAGCATGTCTGTCAGAGTGACAGGGCTGTTAGTTGTGCTTTTTCTACTGTTAAGTGTTTTGTTTTCACTGGAGGTTTAACACCTGAAGTAAGCTTTATGTAACTGAATTTCACAGGTCTGCAATACTGAGTCTCATTGTAATTCTTTTTGTTCCTGCCTCCTCTCATACAAGCCACAGAGTAGAAATAATGACAGGTTTCAGAGTAGCAGCCGTGTTAGTCTGTATCCGCAAAAAGAACAGGAGTACTTGTGGCACCTTAGAGACTAACAAATTTATTAGAGCATAAGCTTTTGTGGGTTACAGCATCCGAAGAAGTGGGCTGTAACCTACAAAAGCTTATGCTCTAATAAATTTGTTAGTCTCTAGAGTAGAAATAAGAGATTGTTCTCAATGAGGAAGCCTGAGTACAGCCAGCCATGAAAGTCAAAGCTTCAGTTAGGAGAGGAGCAAATATGGGTTAAACCAAGAATGAAGAACTGTCTGAAGAACTTGTCCTCTGCCCCCTTTCTCCAACATCTCTGGGTGCATGGATCATCATATAGCTCAAAACCAGTAGCAGATTTAAAAATTGGTCCCAGAAATGTACCTAGTGAGAGCACAAGGAGGAATCTAGCAATATCATCTCACGCTGTGACTTTCCACGCTTTTGTGATTAATTTCCTCCAGCTTCTTGGAAAGGTATTCAAAAAACAAAATTCTGGGTCTAAATATCCAATGCACTCACCTTTTTTGTGCTGTAGGTGTTACTTGTACTAGAGTCTGCTGAGCTGACACTGGTCACTTCTTTGTTCAATGGGGGTGTGATGGTATTTTGGTGAATGGGGGTGGGGTTGTATTAAATTCTCTAAATACATAAGCTTGCTGTTTAG